CCACTCACCTCAGCCTCCCAAAGCGCGGGATTACAGCCTGAGCCACTGAGCCCGGCTAATTTTTTTTTTTTTTAGTTGGAGTCGCACTCTGTCACCCAGGTTGGAGTGCCGTGGCACACTCAAGGCCACCCCAGCATCACCCTGCTGGGCTCAGGTGATCCTTCCACCTCAGCCTTCTAAGTAGCTGGAACTACAGGCGTGTGCTACCATGCCTGGTTAATTTCATTATTATTATTTATTGTAGAAATGAGGTCTTGCCAAATTGCCCAGGCTGGTCTCGAATCTGCAGGATCAAGCAATCCACTCACCTCGGCCTCCCAAAGTGCTGGGATTACAGGCTGAGCCACCAAGTCTAGCCAATTTTTTTTTGAGTTGGAGTCTCACTCTGTCGCCTAGGCTGGAGTGTCGTGGCACACTCACGGCCACCCTAGCATCATCCTGCTGGGCTCAGGTGATCCTTCCACCTCAGCCTTCCAAGTAGCCAGAACTACAGGTGCGCACTACCACACCCAGCTAATTACTTATTTATTTATTGTAGAGACAAGGTCTCATCAAGTTGCTGGGGCTGGTCTTGAACCCGCAGGCTCAGGCAATCCACTTGCCTTGGCCTCCCAAAGTACTGGGATTACAGACTGAGTCACCGAGCCCGGCCTGGCTCTGCATTATTATAACCGGACACGTCCCTGCCCAGTACCCCGGAAACAATGCCTATATCTAGTGGTATCTGTTTCTCTGTAGGATGTGGGACTGAGCCAGGGGCTCCTGCACTCATCCCTGCCACTTCCTTTCACCTCAGCTGTCAGCACTTAGTGGAGCAGTGTGGACTAGCACTGAAGACAGGTCTGACGCTGCCCTGCCAGGTGCAGCCTATTTGGCTGTGACGTGTCTAACTGAGCCTAAGGCATGGTGCACACGAGTTGCAGAGGGGTGGCCCACGGTGGAGTCCCTAGAGTTAGGGGCCAGGTCAGCCTGGGTTTGAATCCTGGCTCTGGGACTTATCTGACATGCAATCTTAGCCAGGGACTTATAATATTATGAGCTTGGGGCTGGGTGCAGTGGTTCATGCCTGTAATCCCAGAGGATTACAATAAATCGTCTCCATAATAAATCAAAAAATTAGCCAGGCACGGTGGCACGTGCCTGTGGTTCCAGCTACTTGGAAGGCTGGGGCAGAAGGATCACCTGAGCCCAGCAGGTCGAGGCTGCAGTGACTGTGAGCGTGCCATGGCATTCCAGCCTGGGCGACAGAGTGAGAGTCCAACTCAAAAAAAAAAAAAAAAAACAAAGAGCCTAGAAGGAGAAAGTGGGAGGCTTGCTTTGGATTTAGCAACAGCAAGCACATGACCAGGAGAGAAAAAAGTATGGAGTAGACGGAGGATGAGATGCAATAAATAGCAAGTACTAAAGTAGCACTAAGCAGGGGGTGGTGGCTCACGCCTATAATGCCAGCACTTGGGAGGCAAAAGCAGGAGGATCGCGTGAGACCAGGAGTTCGAGACTAGCCTAGGCAACATAGCTCTGAGACCTGGGCTCTACCAAAAAAAATTTTTCTTTTTTTGAGTCAGAGTCTCACTCTGTTGCCCAGGCTGGAGTGCAGTGGCTCCCGGCCACCACAAACTCTACTTGCTAGGTTCAGGCAATCCTTCCAACTCGGCCTTTTTTTTTTTTTTTTTTGAGTTGG